AAGTCCTAGGGTGGCTCAAGGGGGGGGGGGGCGGGTACAGCGCAAAGTAACACATTCCACAATAATGATCCAAGATGGAGCCCTACAGTGGTAACCCCGTCAGTCGCACAAGACATCTTCCCCTGAGAGTAGGCGGTAGGTGGATCGCTACCATATTTGTCTAGGAGGATGACTGGCACAGGCTTTACAGCGGTTCTTCCCTGTAAGGCATTGTATAACCACATACCCACTCAGTTTTCATAGTGTTGATATTTTGGCAAACTTTTTCGATTTCTCCTCGAAATAATTTCAACAACCTCTCTATACCTCGCTATTGTCAATTCATGGCGCACTTCATACCGCATGGTCACGGGTTCGAATCCCGGATCGATATCCGCCCAGGCCAACCAAGCCTTCCATCCCTTCTAGATTGGTTAATTGGTACTAGAGACTCGTCTGAGAGGATAAAAGCTCTGACTTTTACAAAGGGTGGCCACCGCAATTCATTGTATGAGCCACATGCGCACTCAATACTCCACTTCAGTTCTGAATTAGAATTGAATGGGAGGCGCATCTCTCAGACAGGATTGAATGATGCCAAAAAATTTATCCTTTTTTAAACCTTTAGGCTTGAAAAATGTCCTCACCTCCAGAGCACCGAAAGGATCCGGAATATTATCAAGATCGTATCGTGACTCTTCTGAGAAAGCACGCCTCTTCTTACGGTTTGCGGACTGGAAGTGAAAAACCTCAGCACATTAGTTCCACCAATGCCCACGTCTCACCGAATCCCAAAGCAGTTCATCAACAGCTTGTGTACTCCTCTGAATCGGGTGCGCTTCGTTGCGCGCGCCCGTCGAAACTATGTCACACCGCAGCCGTCGCATGCGGCAGGTCAGCCGCGATACTTGACAGATGTCGCAGTTGTCAGTGGGGCATACGATTTGCGCTCGGTCCACAGCAGTCATCTCCAAGGGAAGATAACACAGACAAATCCAAATCGTTCACTCCACTGGCACTTGGTTGTACTGTAATGTCACCTCGAAACCTCAATGGGGTGCGCCGCTCGCGAAGTGGGCGGGGTGGCCTACTTTCGACGGACGCGCGCAACGGACGTTCTCCCCCCGAATCAACTACCGTACCTCGCTGTCTCTCGTTCCGCGGAAAGGACACGGTATCGCTTTGAGTTCATAAATTGAATCCGTCGATAGCAATCGCTTATTAATAGTCTGAAATCGTTATTGAACTCGTTTTATAATAGTTTGGTATCGATTACCTCAATATCGCTGTTGTCGGTTGTCCCTTGTGCTGTTCTAATGCCAATGGAGCCATCAATCTCTCTCTAAAGAAAGTTATTTTTCCAAAGAAGTTCTTGTTTCCGTGTAAAGTATTGTTGACCTTTCAGCTCTTTCAGTCAAAACGATACGTTCAAGATCCATTTTGCAGAATGTAAAAGTCAATAGCAATAATTGGGAGAATGCGTCAGTAGGAAGCATCGCAGGCACAAGTCCAGGACTATCCTGCCCTTACCCTTTCGCACTCCTCTGTAGCGGCTTCCAAGGGAGTGTGTACGGTAGACCTGGTTCTTGGAGCTATCTCCGCTTCCCGAGTGTTTCCGCTTCCTATGTAGAGCCCAAGTTGCGATGGGACACAGGTAATGAAGTTTCAGCATTATGAAAAATGCTGATTGACGTCCATTACACCAGGTACTTCTAAGACTGGGTCCGAAGGCCAGGGTGAAAATGAGGGTTGTGCTAAGAGAAATGTCACCACTAACACTTTATGATCATTCGTTTATGGATAGCAGTGGCCGAAAAGATGGGAGGGTTGTAGCACCAAGTGAATCAGCTATCACTTAGATGGTCCTTCTTCCGGATTGGTACTCGTCCAGGCAAGCTAAGTCTTCCATCCCTACGGGGCATGCTGATTGGTACCAGATCATCTGGAAGGGACTTGTGCATCGGCTGGCCACTGCAAATCGCAAGTTGTCTTTGCTACATAGTCGTCTTTGCTGCGCATTCAATGTCACCATGATTCCAACCGGAAGTAGAAAGTGGTGGCGCATCACGGGGTTGATCGTCGCCATGGAGCTCTAATGTTTATCCTTTGTGATCTGAAGAAGTATCTTCAACCAACCATAGGAGGCAGTTGATGAAGATCAATAGTGGACTCCACGGAGCGAGCGTATTTATTGATAGTCTGAAATTAGTCTGCCTGTGGTAACTTACACAACATTTGTGTATCAGTTTTTCTTTTACATATTTTCTTGGCAAAATATGTGGATGTGATTTATGTACTACTGTATGTCGGAAACGGTAACTGGGTGTCAACTTCTGCACCCTCTCCCCTGCCGTTTTATTTTTTTGAAATAAAAATATATTCACCGGTGTAGCAGTGAATTGGTTCGACATCCCATGCAAGTCATCATGCACCTCGTCAGCGTACAGCTTCCTCCCAAGCTGTAAAGAAGTTCAATCGCTAAACATAGCCTTCTATTCCTTGGAAACAGCCCCCACTGCCTGTTCCAAGTATGATTCACTGAGAAGTAGACCGCTTGACAACTGATGATGCAACATTTCACTGTAATTTTGAGATATCATATTGCATTGCTACCCAACTCCTGCCCGTGTACCCAATCAGCCAGATTAGTCTGAGTGAAACAATTTCATGGATGAAATTCAGCATCGACTCTGCCCATCAACTACCCGAACTTGCACGGGATTTAAGTCAGAGGGAAAAGGCAAAATTCATTCTGCATGCGCCATTTACCCCTGGGGCACTTCAAACTGGCAGTTATTACTGGTATTTCGTTTCATTTGACGTTTTGACTTCTACGTTTCAGTTTCGGTAAAACATGGATATCAGTGCCTTATCAGCAAGGCCTTCACTCAGATAAACACCGATTGCTTCCATCCCACCGCATCATAACTGCTCACGCGCGAAAATGGGTTTGATCATACGCGCGTAAAATCGATACCAATCAGTCAATTTCAATCTCTCAAAGGCATCAATGCTATCAGTTGAAGCGCGCAAACAGCTTACTGCGGGCACGGTTGCAAACATTAGTGCCAGCACGGCTACACGGTCGTGTAGGGTACCGAGAGTGATGACTAAACAAATATTTGAAGTTGTCCGCTGAAATGCTACCCAAAACGGCCTCTATCGCATGGTAACGAGACCCTACAGACAAGTCCCACAGATTTCTGGTGAAAAACTTCATACGTCAGTCTATCGGCTGTCAGTATCTGACCATTTCGCTCAGTATGACTGCACCTTCAGATTGGAAATTTCCAGACTTTCTCTCAGTAAAACATGGAAGACTCAGGTAAAAGAACATACCGTAGGGTTCTGCACGAAGGATGTGTGCGAATATGGATTGATGAATGCTTGACTGGCCATCTGCAACTATTGGTGCTGGGTAGGTGGATCCGATCAGACAACGACTGACTACATTCGGCAAGACTAAAAGACTCGAAGCTTCAACTCACTGTGGACGTGCTTTCAGAGCGACAACAACCACCAACTGCAGTCGAGTAACTGATGGATAATGAACCTCACTCAAGGTAGGGATGTTTTGAGCCCATTATCTGCTTTTCTGAGAGATAATGAGGGATCACTACTACGAAGGAATACCTATATTAATCCTGCGTCCGCCAACGAACACATTTACTCAAACTCAGATTGGTCTACGGGCAATGGACAGGGAATGCAGCGCTGCCTGAACAGTCTTTCGTTATGCTATCAGCACTACATTTCGTTGCTTATCGTCTGAGAGATGAAGGCATTGACTTGTACAGCACCAACTCCCCACCCGCTTGACCAAAAAGACGCAAAGGAAGCCAAAATCTCTAATATCGACAAAAACTGCAAATTCCTAAACAACTCTCACAAAATGAAGAAGAAGCACTGATTATGACCAATGCTCATTTTAAAAATGAGCGCAAACGAAGGTTCAAACACAAAAAGTTACCAGAATTTATCGACACGTACAAAGAGATCAGTATTGCACTGCGTAGAAACCAAAATACCGCTGAGGTAGGTAAAGGCCATTGAACAAATTGACTACTTTCCAGTGGAACCAAATCCACCTTCACCACGAGCGGTACCGGTCAAAGTTGTACATTCCTCATATTTGCAATGTGCAATACGCTCACAAATGAACTGAGCAATTCGATCCCCTTTTTTGACCTGAAACAAGCACTTTGAAGCATATGAATGGTACAAACAACTTGAGCTTTGACAGTACCTCGAAGTCAGTGGGTCCAAAATTGAAAAGCAGGACTTTCAATTCCCCACGGTAGTCGCTATCCACAACGCCTGCACCAACGTCGATAAAATTCTTCGCTG